AAGACATCCAATATCTCGTTTTGTCATTTCGTGAAGAAGGCTTAGTGAGTGAAAAGGTTGTTATGAACAAAGTTACACCCTGGAGGAACTTCTGCTTGTTCGGCTAGACCCCTATGGGCTAGACCATGTCTACACTTGGGCCCTGTCCTAGGCCAGTTTCAGGTAGATGTGTGTGCACTCTTTCAGTGCATTGAAGATGGGCCGAATGTTATAGAAAGGGTGGTTTGTGGTCATGTGTGGGGCACCCCATTTGGTTCTCATGAACATCTGCACAATCCTCCAGATAGTTCACCTCTGCATCGCCATTCAATAGTCTACCAGGCAAATGGGCCGTTTCACCCTGGGACTCCCTATCTGAGCTATCACTATCACAGTTACTTTCAATTTGGGGGTGTGGGGTGGGGGGGAAGGGGGGTCATGCACGTCGAGAAGGTCCAACACATTGAACGTTTCTGGGATACTGATAACTGCACTAAACAAAATTATAAATGCAACACTTTTGTTTTTGCCCCCATTTTTCATGAGCTGAACTCAAAGATCTAGACCATTTCTATGTACACAAAAGGCCTATTTCTCTCAAATATTGTTCACAAATCTGTCTAAATCTGTGTTAGTGAGCACTTCTCCTTCGCCGAGATCATCCATCCTCCTCACAGATGTGGCATATTCAGTGTAGGATTGCCAATACCCGGCAATATCTGCAAATACCTGTGTTTTCAATTGAAGCACTGTTATACTGTTATACTACCGGCCACAATTGTGACCGTAAATAAATTTACAAGTCTTACGAGCAAAATATAAATTCAGGAGTATAATTCTCAAAATATATCAGTAGTAGAGCCTTTAAAGAATATATGCACAAAATTTGATAGTTCTATCTGTAAATTAAGATGTTTTATATACTACTTATTTTAGTAGTCTGAGGAAGAAATCTTCTTCTAGATGTGCAAGCAGGAAGTGAACTGATCTGGTCATGTGACCTTTCACACTAGTCACATGACATTAATTGATTTTAATCAAGACAGTCTATTTTGTCATTTAAAAGTTGAATTTCTTGGCCCAAAGTCAATAACAACATTTTTTAGAGCTTCCAGAAATAAGAAAAAAAAAGCTGCGGTCACAATTGTGACCGGTGGGATTAAACGGGTTAAGACATAAAACACAATGCCTGTTTTCTGGATCAGGCCTAAAAGACTGATGCCTACACATTAAAATACCACTTTTCAACTAAATTCATTAGCCTAACCGTTGTTTAGCCACATACACAAAATACCTGCGTATCTATGACTGTTCTAGACGAGTTTGAAGTATATTAGTTTTATAGGTAACAAAAAAAAAAACAGCAATAGTCATTTTTCATGTCGATGTCTTGTAGACATAGCTGAAAGATGTTCTGAAAGAAATATCTTGTGTAGAAATATCTGTTCATGTTTTTCATAAATTCCTATATGTTTGACCACGGTTGGAGACTAGTTTTTGCATACTGTACAAAAACAAAAAGAAGCAGGCTGTAAACGGCGTAATCGACTAGTATATAAAATGTCAATTACAAACATTCAAAACTGATCAATTTTCTGTATGTTGTATTTACTTTTTTGCAAGTTGATCTCTAGATTTTACTCCGTGAAATGTTATCTGCAGGTAAACACTGAATATTGACTTCTCTAAAAGAAAAGTCTTCACCTAAAATACATACGGTCCAACATACAAAATGTGAAACAGTATCATCTACTAGCTATCTGAATAGTAATAAAACCATCATTTGTTAACTTTTGTGTATGAAATATTATACACAGTGCTTTTCCTAGTGATTTGGTCTGTTGAATCTTACATGGTTGTTTTGGACACGTGTGATTCCTGTATAAAGAATATGTTTTAAAGTTAGTCCACAGGATTTACAAAAGTGTGGTACTTTGCATCGCTATGGTGTGACAAAATACATCCAAATATTTAAGCCCAACTAATTACACACATACTAAGCAGGAGAATATCTAATTGTACTTTTGGAACATTCCATTATCTGATTGTTTTCGGGTCAGAGAACAATTTTTGAACAAAGTTTGATATTTCGACTTCCATGATATTTCCTTTTAGTAAAGCTATGTCTGGATCAGCGTGAGGGTGAGACTGAACAAATATTACACCAATATTAGCTTTCTCAATCATTGCATGGTTGCACTATGCCTGAAACTTAGTAATCAACATGCATTTCTGTAGGTCTGTCAAAAGAAAGAATCTGTTATCATGGTTTAGGTAAATTTTAAAAACACTACTTTTCTTAAAAACATTGTGTCAGACGTATTTCGTAGCATGATTATCTTGTTTCATTGTGTATTAAGTCCATATTTATCAGGCTGATATTTGTAGAAATTAGAAAAGTCAATTTATAAAACAGAAAGAACCAGTTTATGGCCTTGCGGCAGAGCACAGCAAATATGAAGAAGCACTTTTGAATTTTTTGTTCAAACATTAAAGTAAGATTTTCATTTAAAAAGTGACATTGCAAAAACTAGTGTCATTAAACTTAATCTTTGGTTTTAAGGGTAATTAAATATTCTCTGGATCCCTGAAGTTATGACTTCTGAAGATCTCTCACGTGTAGATTGACTCGGTTGAAAAATGTAATTGTAAAATTTAAAGTTTTACACATCTGAAATTCAAGGTACATTATATTTTAAAAAGTATTCTTATAGCTAAAATAAATGTCTTTATTCATAAATATGATCTCGTTGGTGTAAAATTAGCTCTGACAATGATCTGACGGGTGAGTCCATGGAGGCCTCCATGTCGTCCCGTCATTTTGAAAAACTATAATAACGAAGAGGGACAAAAAAAAAAGCACTAGTCACCGCAACGCATTTTCATTCAGAACCGGCTGACTGAAACCATCTGAAGCGACCAAGGAGGTCAGTGAGAGGCGCTTGAAAGGCCGCACTGCACGGTGCTTCATAATGCAATCCTCGTAGTTATGATAAAGCTTAAAAATGTAATCTAAAAGGAAACGTGACTGGCAAATTCAAAATGAGGGTAAATATCGGGATGGGTTTTCCCAGGTGGATAGAGCTAATGAAGGAGAAAGTCTTTGAAAGGGACGCTGAAGTCCTGCTTTCTTCTCGACAGGTAAGTCAATGTTACGGTCTAAATTACAAGGTTGTGTAATTCATCATATAGGCGGCGTAACGGTAGAATGTGTATAGTTAAACTCAAAAAAGTGCTATTGGATGACATGTCGTAGCTTCTCTGCACATTACGGTCACCATAGTCGCAACACGCATTTCAAAAAGCGTGGCGCTAGAGAGCACTATGTGTTTGAATCGAAGAGGTCAAATGGGCATGCTTTCTGCTATAGTATCATCAGCTCTCCCCTTGTGTGCTTCCACAATGAATAAGGATAGTTTGGGGGATACAAGAAAAGTCAAAATGATATATCGTACCTACATACAATAGGTCATAGCTACCGTGGAAAAAGTAAGATCATGCTTTGAATTAAGACGAGTAAAATTAAATATTTGCTCAATACCAACTTTACTTCTGCTGCGTCATGGACCACAGAGGCACATTGCGTCTCTGAAAATGTGTGGTGATTTTCTAAATGATACAACTTAATCTACATAAGAGCAAATAAGAGCAGTCCAAGGATTTCTTTTAAAACAAAAACATTGTGACAAACTTTCATTTCATGCGACATGGACAAAAATACTCTTTGAAATATTTACTCTTTGACACCAAAGCACAGATCTTGATTTATAACATTTTTTATTTTATTTTGAACAAACGATATTTAGTCAAAATAATAACTTAGGTTAAATTTTATGCAAATCATTAATATTATACAGAAGTCTTGTAAGATACGATTTTAATAAAACTTTAAAGATTTGATTTAAACAATCTTTTCATTTTAAAAGATCTAAACTTTTAAGAGTATGCTTTTAACCCCTTAACTGTCACCGTCCCGGTACCGGGACGCCTAACTTTACTTCACTTTATTTCTATTAAATCCAAGGGCGCCACCAGGGGGTGGCCAGGGGTGGCCGTGGCCACCCCTGGTCGACTCCTGGCCACCCCACTGGCCACCCCACTGGCCAGTATAAATTTTAGTAGCTTCAGTTTACATTTCATCCCTAATGCACAGCAAGGCACACTAGCAGGCAAGCCGCGCTAGACTAGCGATCGCACACACAGCCAGTACTCCCCTGAACCCAACCCCGCCCCCCTCCGTCCATGCCGCTGTGGCGCGCACAGACAGCAACAGCTCATCAGCGCGTGCCCGTCATCTCTGCTGTCGGTCTTTCTTTGAAAGAAGTTAAGAAAGAAGACAAAGACTACCGGTAAGTAAATAAGTCAAAAATATCTTTAGTAAAAGAAGACGGGGAATTATGTGTCGTGAGTCGTGATTTTTAAGTGCGAAATGGTTACAGTATACTGTTACAGCAGCTTTGATGTGTCTTTGACACGTTTTGACATAAGTTAACGTTATCTAGCTAACGTCGTTAGCTTGTTCGTATATGTTATGTCAATTTTCAGACAATGAAGAGAAAGTCCACAGACATCTCTTCTTATTTTAAGAAGAAAAGTACAGAAGGAGGAGTGAAAGAGATAGCAGGGGAGCGACAGAGGCTTAGTAATAGTGAGGAGGAGAAGGAAGAGGAGGATGGAGGAGAGGAACAGACAGAGCAGCATGTCAAGGATACACAGCCAGCATTAGTGACAGAACACAATGATGAGGAAGAACAGACAGCAGCAGCCCAGGGACAGTCAACACCATTGATCACAGAAGCGTGGCAGGACACGGCAAAAGAAGGTGTTAGACGTGTTCCTGGACCAACAGGTGAAGTCATGATCACGTGTCCCTAATAATAAAATTGATGGGTAGCCTAGATAGTAACATCATCTGGAGAAATTAATGTTTTGTTTAGTGTGTTTCCCATTAAATTACAAATCTGACAATCACTTAAAGCAGCTTTTTGATTCATATTAGTAGTTGAGTTTTATTAGTCTGAATAGAAATGCCATTATTACAGCTATGATTGATAATTATGAGAGGGGATTATTATTATTATTGTTAATATTATCATTATTATCATTATTACTTTAATATGAGAATAAATTTTGCCTTTTGTTTCATTATAGATATCTCCCAGTCAAGAGCAGAGCAGCCCAAGCAGCCACATCTGAAAATCTTCCCTCGCACCTATCAAGGGGACAGAAGACGCTGCTTCTCTAAAGACTGGTACACCACACATAAATGGCTGGAATACTCTCAGAGTAAAGACTCTGCTTACTGTTATGCCTGCCGGCACTTCAGTCTCCCCTCTTCAGGTGATTCAGTATTTACATCTGAAGAGGGGTTCAAACATTGGAAAAAGGCAACCTTCAAAGATGGGGGATTTTTAGGTCATGCCAAATCTGAAGCACATACTAATGCAATGTTAGCATGGGCAGAGTATGAAAAATCCGCTGCAAGCACATCCTCTCTCTCAGCCTCTTTAAATGCGGAATACAATAAATTAGTGAAGGAAAATAGAGAGTACATTAAAGTTGTTGGAGAAACCCTGCTTCTCACAGCTACGCAGAACATAGCACAGAGACCACATAAAGAATCAGAAGGTGAGAATAAAGGAAACTTTCTCGCTATTATGGGACTGCTAGCCAAACACAATCCCACAGTCAAAAGAAAAATGACTTGTCAAAAAAATGCAACATATCTTGGGCATGACACACAAAATGAAATAATTGACTGTCTAGCTGAAATTGTCCGCACTTCAGTAACTAGTGAAGTTTCCCAAAGTGAGGCTTTCAGCATTTTGGTCGATGAGACTAAAGACCTAAGCAAAAAAGAACAGTTGTCCTTTGTAATAAGATACTATTACAATGGGTCAGTATGTGAGAGCTTCCTTGCCTTTGAGGCAGCACAGCGTCTTGATGCTGCAGCTCTTTCACAGAAAATAATTCAAATTTTGCAGAAGCATGGTCTTGACTACAAAAACCACCTTGTAGGGCAAGCATATGACGGAGCCTCAGTCATGAGCGGAAAAAACACAGGTGTGCAAGCACGCATGAAATCAGAGGCCCCTTTAGCTTTTTATGTGCACTGCAATGCGCATTGTTTAAATTTAGTATTAGTCGACAGTGTGAAATGCATCCCTGAAGCTAATCGCTTCTTTTCTCTTTTGCAGAAACTGTATGTTTTTGTGTCAGGGTCATATGTGCACCAAAGATGGCTTGAGGTACAGAGGGAGATGTTTCAGGGGGCCCCAAGAGAGTTACAAAGACTGATAGAGACACGGTGGGCATGTAGGTATAATGCTTGCAAGACAGTGAGAGACAGACTGTCAGCCATCATACGTCTACTAAAAGAAATATCAGAAGAGCAAAATGGTGACAGAGCTGTGGAGGCAAGAGGTTTATTAGCCCAAATAGATTTCAAGTTTGTTAGCCTCCTTGTAACATTCACCAGTGTTCTTGGTGAGATAAAATATCTGTCAGATATTTTACAGTCCCCACAACTTGATTTGGGCACAGCTGTCACACTTGTTGACTCTCTTGTTGACACATTGGAGAGTTACAGAGAGGGCTCTCTCTTTAATGACATCTGGGACAATATTTTAACACTTACTGAGCAATGCAACATCAGTGCCACACCTTCAGGCCGTCAGGTCAGACCAAGCTCTTTGCTTGAAGACCATTACTTGTTCACTCCAATTGTTCAAAGACAAGAGAGCACAGATAAAGAGTCCTTTCGGACAGGTTCATTCATTCCAGTTATTGATGTGCTTCTCTCTGAGGTGAAGAGAAGATTTTCTAAAGAAAATTGTGTCATAATGAAAGGGATACAGGCCTTGAATCCATGCAGTACCATATTTTGTGAGAAAGATGTAGTGTTTCCATTTGCCTCACAATACAACTGCAGTACTGAGGATCTACAATATGAGATCCCACAGCTTAAGCGTATTCTTGAGAGGAAGCAAAGTAGTGGTCAGGAAACACCAAAGGCATTAATAGAGCTCACTGTTTTTTTGGAGCCTTTTAAGGAGGTCTTCCACCAAATGTTTAAACTGTGCAAAATAGCACTTGCACTTCCCGTGAGCACTGCATCCTGTGAGCGCAGTTTTTCTAAGCTAAAGTTAATCAAAACTGCCTTGAGAAGTACCATGACAGATGAGCGTTTAAGCAATTTGGGTGTGCTGAGTATAGAATCAAGAAGGGCTAGGGCCATTAATCTTGATGACTTTGTGGATGCGTTTGCCAAAAAACATAGCAACAGGCGAATAAAGCTATTCTGAAGGCTGGTAATCAGAATCAGAGACTATTGGTCCCTGTTGGGAAGTTCTTTTTGAAATAGTAATAATTATTTTTGTTTTACATTAACCAAAGATGTACATGTTTATTACACATACTGTATAGCCTGGTAATCAGATTCAGACTATTGATCCCTGTTGGGAAAGTCCTGTTACATAAAGCAAAGATGTGATTTTTTCTGTCCTTGCTTTAATTTGTATTTGCCAGTATCTGCTTTTCCACAGTAACTGTTTTGTTTGCAATAAATGTACACTTAATGCCAAATATAATTGCAAAATAAAACAAAATTGTTGTGCACCGCAAAATGTTAACTGTACTGTACTTTAATTAGTCTATGCACATTATATCATTAGTGACATTAAATATAACACAATAAACCAAAGTATATTAGTAGGAGTTTCCTTAAGTCTTTCTGATAGTTTTCTACAGGCCGATTTACTACAACAGTAGAATCATATTCTGAAATTATGGTGAAATTATGGTTTATAGTTTTGGTGTGCCACCCCAAGATTTTAAGTGGCCCCATCTGGCCACCCCTATGAAAAATTTCTGGAGGCGCCACTGGTTGTTCCAACCCCGTAAGACCTTCGTTCATCTTCGGAACACAAAATAAGATATTTAAGATATTAAGATCGCTCCTGCATAAAGTCCATAGGCTTCTTGAGGGACTGGCTCTTGCTGTCCCCGAAAAGTCATTAAAGACATAGTTAAAATAGTCCAAGTGACTACAGGGGCTCAATCTTAAGTTTATCAAACGACGAGAACACTTTTGTGTTCAAGCGGAACATGCCAGCCAGACCATCGGTCGCATCCTTCGTAGTCTCGCCTTTCGCAATCCGGTTTCGTGGTCAGAACAGCTTCCCTGGGCAGAATACGCTCTCAATTCCGCTCCATCCTCTGCCACGGGTTTTTCTCCTTTTCAATGCTGTCTCGGATACCAGCCTCCACTCTTTTCGTCTCAGGAGACTGAATCTAAGGTGCCGTCCGTTCAAGCCTTCATTCAACGTGCTAAGCGTACTTGGAGAGAGGTTAGGTCCGCTTTAGTTAAATCTCGTTCTCGTACCCGGCGGGCCGCTAATAGACGTCGGGTCAAGAGTCCCCGTTATTCTGTGGGTCAGAGAGTTTGGTTATCTACCCTTAATCGCGTGGAAAGACAGTATGTCACGTTATAAAAAGACACTAAAAACAGCCAGGGCTGAGCATCTCCGCAAACTAATCGAAAATAACCAAAATAATCCAAGGTTTTTATTTAACACCGTGGCTAGACTAACAAATAAACAGACATCACCAGAGCAAAATATACCTTTACAGTTTAGTAGTAATGATTTTATGAATTACTTCAATGCGAAAATAGAAAGCATCCGAAACAAAATTATAAATGTACAATCCGCTATGGTGTCTTATGATTCAGCTTCAATTATGGACCCTCTAGAACAACTAAACCGCTTTACAACGATAGGACAGGAGGAGCTAAATAAACTTATCATTGCATCTAAACCAACAACTTGTTTATTAGATCCAATACCCACTAAACTACTGAAAGAACTATTACCTGTAGTGGAAGAGCCTCTCCTCAATATTATTAACTCGTCTTTATCTTTAGGTCATGTCCCAAAAATATACAAGCTGGCTGTAATAAAACCGCTCATTAAGAAACCGCAATTAGATCCAAATAACTTGGCAAATTACAGACCCATTTCAAATCTTCCATTTATGTCCAAAATACTTGAAAAAGTAGTGTCCGCTCAATTGTGCTCTTTTTTGCAAGAAAATGATATCTATGAAAAATTCCAGTCAGGATTCAGACCGCATCATAGTACAGAAACTGCGCTAGTTAAAATTACAAATGATTTACTTTTAGCTTCTGACCAAGGCTGTATCTCAATACTAGTCCTACTTGATCTTAGCGCTGCGTTCGACACTATAGATCATATAATACTCTTGGATCGACTACAAAACTTCACCGGTGTCCAGGGACAGGCATTAAGCTGGTTTAGATCGTACTTATCGGACCGTTCTCATTTTGTCTGTTTAAATGGGAAAAAATCAAAGATAACGTCAGTAGACTATGGAGTACCGCAAGGATCAGTTTTAGGCCCTCTGCTATTCTCAATATATATGCTGCCACTTGGTAATATTATAAGAAAACATGGAATTAATTTCCACTGTTACGCTGACGACACTCAATTATATATTTCATCACGACCAGATGAAAACACTAACTCATCTAAAATGACAGAGTGTCTCAAAGATATAAAATGCTGGATGACGCGTAATTTCCTGCTATTAAATTCAGATAAAACGGAGGTATTACTTATTGGTCCAAAAAACTACTCACAAAACCTCTCACAATACAACTTTAATATAGACGGATGTCCTGTTACTTTATCCACAACAGTAAAAGACCTGGGTGTTATACTAGACCGCAACTTGTCGTTCGAAAATCATATTTCATATGTTACAAGAACAGCCTTTTTCCACCTTAGAAACATTGCTAAGCTACGTAACATGCTATCTATTTCTGATGCAGAAAAATTAGTTCACGCATTCATGACCTCGAGACTAGATTACTGTAATGCTTTATTAGCTGGTTGTCCTGCATCCTCAATAAACAAGCTACAGTTAGTACAAAATGCAGCTGCTAGAGTTCTTACTAGGTCAAGAAAATATGATCATATAACACCGATTTTATCATCTCTACACTGGTTACCTATTAAGTTCCGCATCAACTACAAAATACTACTACTGACCTATAAAGCCCTAAATGGTTTAGCACCTATGTACTTAACGGACCTTCTTTCGCCCTACAATCCACCGCGTTCCTTAAGATCACTAAATTCAAGGCTTCTGGTCATTCCTAGGATATCGAAGTCCAGTAAAGGAGGGAGGGCGTTCTCGCATTTAGCTCCAAAACTCTGGAATGGCCTTCCCGATACGGTCCGAGCCTCTGACTCGCTGACACAGTTTAAAACTAGATTAAAGACGCTTCTCTTTAGTCAAGCATTCACATAATGCTTACCTTCTAGTCGTCTGTTATGCCATACGGAACCGTTTGCCACTGAAACTGCTTAACGCACCAGTGGGGCTCGACAGCCTTTTAGACAAACGGGTCGGCGCGTATGGTTGGGTTGCGGAGAGTTCGGGTTACGGAGAGTTTGTGAGTTATAACGGAAATTATTATGAACATCAGCTATGCTAATTATTTCCCATCTGCCTTTCTGCTGTTATCTCGGGACGCTTGTCCCGAGAAAAATGGCGTTCGTCAGGTCCAGTTTTGTGTCCAGCCTCTCACGGGGATTTCGGATGCCCCAACGCCTGTGATGAGACGACTCAACGCCTGTGATGAGACGACTCAACGCCTGCGATATGTTATGGCGCCGTTTGATTCATAAACAATATTTATATTTAATATTTATATTTAAACAATATGAATGTAAGCCAGAGGAGAACTGGCCCCCGACTGAGCCTGGGTTCTCCCAAGGTTTTTTCTCCATCCAATCTGATGGAGTTTTGGTTCCTTGCCACTGTCGCCTTGCTTTTGGCTTGCTTTGAGCTTGCTCAGTTGGGGTTATTTATTTAGTGTTTAGCAATGTTGTTGATCTGTGTTGTGCTACTTACATGTTATCACTGTGAAGCTGCTTTGATACAATCTGTATTGTGAAAAGCGCTATATAAATAAATGTGACTTGACTTGACTTGACTTGACTTAATCTTCCTCTCCAGTCCACTTCTCGCAAGCTGGCCCCCAAATTCATCGGGCCTTTCCGTATTCTTAAGATACTCAGTCCTGTCTCTGTTCGTCTCAAGTTGTCTGCCAATCTTCGGCGCGTCCACCCGGGGTGCTTCTCAATATCCCTCCTCGTCTCCTCGCTCCTCCGTCCTCCCTCCTATGACCCGGAAACCGATCGAGCTCAGCCATCTTGAAGGACATCTCAATTCTCTAATTGCACCGTGAGGAGTCGAGGATCGAGGAGATAGGAGGCTTCCTGAGGAGTCATAAGCGAGGATACACAGGTGCATCCTACGCGGAACTGTTATATTGACTAAACGTGACGCACGTGTCAATTCTCCTCCCCCTTCACATCGGTCACAATCATTTTAATTTATACTTTACCTTTGCAGTTTATATAAACCACACATCTCAGATATTTCAACAGTATAGCCTATCTTTATTATTATTTATTATGAATTTATTAAATAACCAAACTTCAACAACATAGGGCAAATCCTTTTAGCGCTGCTGATGACACTGTGGAGTGACGCTCGAGTGATCAAGTACTCCAATGTATATAAAAAAGCTTTTATTCGATTCATCTGTCCTCCTTTCCTTTCCTCGCTTCCTTCTCTCGCGTCCTACAGGGGGTGGAGCTGAGACGCAAGGAAAGGAAGCGAGGGAAGGAAACGAGGATGCACAAACAAGAAATGAGAAGCACCCCTGGTCTTTCACGTGTCATGTATTAAACCCGTCATTCGTGCTCCCCCTCGGCCTGTCACTCCTCCTGTCCGCGTCGAGGGCGCTCCCGTCTATAGGGTTCGCAGACTTCTCGATGTTCGCCCCCGGGGTCGTGGTCATCAATTTCTGGTCGATTGGGAGGGATACGGTCCGGAGGAGAGATGTTGGATTCCATCCCGGGACGTCCTGGACCGCTCGCTGATTGATGACTTCTACCGCTCACGCCAGTCCTCCTCTGTTGCGCCAGGAGGCGCTCCTTGAGGGGAGGGTACTGTCATGATCCTGGCTCTTTCTTTCTTTCTCTGTTCCTTTTCTGCCCCCTTCTGGTCACTATCTTACATTACATTACTTGCATCACTCATTCATTATCCCAGTCACCTCCAGCTGTGGCTCATCTTCTCATTACCTCCTCGTTATCCTTCCCAACTGTTTCTCACTATCTCTGATTAGACTCTCTATTTCATGGCTTTTCTCTTACTGTTCTTTGTCAGATTATTGCTCTATGTTACGTACCTGTGCATACCGCTCCTG